AATTTGGAGATGCCAGCTATAAATGTTCCTTATTATGATACAAATTCCCTTAAAATGTGCTTTGTTAGGCTCCATAAATATCACAAAATTCACAGAATTCTAAAAATCTTACTGTATTCTTTTGGTAAAAGGTTGTGAAAATAGGATTATATTTACTCCTAGAAAAAAATTAAAATGACTTCCTTCACTCAATCTTCATTTTAAACTGTGCTCATTCACAATCAACAATGTCAATTTAAGTTAAAGTACTTTTCTTTGTTTCATAAAACTAAGAACAACGTTTAAATAACACAAAGACTTGCTAGGAAGTATCAAGAAGTGTTCCCTTATGAGTATCTTGCCCATAGAGTAAGCTATCCACAAATATTTGTTAAATTGACATTTAACAATTTAATTAGAAGATCTAAATACTTCTAAATAGAAGTATCTATTTAGATAAAAATCTAAATAAGAACAGTATACCTGCTTGGCAACCAAGAATATAAATACAATGCACTGAGTTGGCGTGCATGGTCACAGAATTTAGTTGTAAAAAGGACACATTTTTAGGATGCTGAGGCTGAAAGGCCCTTGTTTACTTCACAGTATGGTAAGGGGCCCAAAGTGTTAGTACAGTGGGTCTTACTCAAAAGGCTAGCAAGTGTAATAAGAATATAATAACAGTTTAAGCACAACTCCTAGACCTCAGAAAGGTATGCTCTTGTTGAACTCTAAGAACAGGAAACAGTCACAACTTAGGCCTGGATCCTATATCAACCTAAGGTCAACTCTTGACGAAGCGGTTCAATCACTCCCAGAAGCCCAAGCTAAACTTCGATTGCACACACTTAAGAAGGAAGCCACAAATACCCACTCTAGAAGCCTCCAAGTCCTCTCAGAGCAGCCTGATGGTCAAAATGAGTACACCAAGTTGGGGAAATTGTACAGTCATCTATGTGGCCATTACAAGTTGGTTATACTTGTAGCCATCGTACCTTCAACTGTTTTATTTTGATCACAGGTCCATGGGCAATGATCCATATGGCTCCCAAGGTCATCTGCATCTAATGAAGCATGTGTGAGTGTGTGAGTGTGTGAGTGTGTGAGTGTGTGAGTGTGTGTGTGTGTGTGTGTGTGTACACACACACACAAATATATGTGGGGATATTAAATATACATTATATAAATTCATATATACATATTAAATATATACATACCATGTCATATATGTATGAGAATAAAATGTGTGTATGTGTGTGTGTGTGTGTGTTTTAACACTGAAATAAATGCTTAAATGTAAATTCCTGCCTTTGAGTAGGCAAGACCTCCTGCACAGAAGCTGGCAGAAGAGTCTGCTTAAACAACAGCAGTGCAGTGACTCATCTGTGTTTTCACAACATGTTTCTACCCAGCACCCATATCTATTTGTAACCTGACAATAAAAGCCCTATGTGAACCATCTCTGAGCTGTCTGCCTTTAAAAGTAAGGACACTGTGCTCAGTTGACTCATTTGAGCTGCTTGTGCTTTTGAGAATAACCCACTGCCACATTTATGAAGGCATGTGATATAACTGAAGATTATTTCAGGCTGTGCCAATGCTTTTCTGCCTAGTCTTGATCTAGTGTTTAGAAAATCAAATAGAGACAGCCCCTAAATAAGCCCACTACACACCACTACGAGTATCTCTTGGGGGCATAGCAAAAGATAGCTTTATCAACACCCTGAACTGTAAACGTCATCAGGGTAGGACTCTTGTCTATTTTGGTGACTTATCTGTATCCCTGCCACTTAAAATAGTGTCTGGCACAAAGTAGACACTAAATAAATATTTATGAAGGAATGAATCAACCTCTGCCATAGACCTGTGAAATGACCTGGGCCTTAGTACCAAATCCACAAAATATTTTCTTGTCCTCATGCCAAGTCAAGAAGATTTCTACTGCCAGAGCATCAGATCTCCTGTATGTTAAAGTATATACCCTTTCAGCGTTGAGATACTTCTCAACATATTAAGACACTTTACTCCCTGGTCCTGAAAATATATAAAATATACAAGTATAATCACCTACCATTGCGATAAAACCTAATATGATGAGTACAAGTAAAATTTTTGATATTAAAATATTAGGATATGTAAAATTACTATTAACCATTGAGTTGGATATGTGTGTGCACATACTAGTTAATTTCTATTTTATGCAGATTTTTAGATATATAAACCCAGGCTTAGATCTATGCATCCATTTACTACTAGCATTAGTTCACCCAAAAGAAATTGATAATAGACTATTCAGTTCAACAAATATGTATATATTAACAATCATTAATTTTACATCCCTGTTTTCAGTGTTTCTGACACCCACTGTGACTTCTAAAAGTACCAAATTGAGGTACTTTGCTAATACATTTCTTAAAGGAAAAAGGCTTTAGAGGTGAGAGAACAATATGCCCTCCAATATTTTCATCCAGAGAAACATTTAAAATAATGAATTCACAGTTTCAGTGAAATTATCAATGGAGGTTACAAAATCTATTACTAAAATGATCAAACTATGTCTGGAAAACATTCTAAGTTTGAATTTGACACTGAATTAAGTTAACTCCCAGGAGTAACACCCAACAAATGGTCGTGTTAGTGGACTATTTAACATTCTGAGTGCAGAAAGCATTTATGTTTCTCCTAAAGTTTTCAAAACCTCAAACAGCTTACTTGACCAGCAAGGCCTTTCCTGTGCAATTTATCAAAGAGGAGAAAAATATCCATGTTAACTACAGACCATATTGCACAACACAATCCTTTACTTTCCCAAGAACTCTCTCATGTGGAAACAATTCACCTAGGAGGGATCAACAATAGACTTTAATCAGACTTCTTCCTTATCTCATAAGTCTAATGAGGTTGAAAAGGAGCTCAATTCAGTTTAAAAAGGCAATAAATTAACACATAAGAAGTGTCATAATTCCCCCATGTCAATGAGAAAAGCATCCATGAAAAAATGTGGTGAAAAATTATCTGCACAATAAAAAGTTTCTATCTATTCTGAAAGAAGATGGTTTTGTTCTTGCTACTCTTTCAAAATCACGGTTTTCTTTTCTTTTCTTCCTATGTGGCTGCCATTAATATCTTCCTCATGCTGGCCTCATGGTGCTTCCCCAGTGCTTTCATTAGCGCTGGCTTTCTTGAATGGTCTGTTTTAGTTACCATTATGCTCTCATTTGGATGAAGAATAGAGGCCCAAGTTGGACACAGATCAGATTTTATAAAAATTCTATTACTGACATCACTGTTACAATTTAATTTTTGCATTCCTGTCTTATGAATGAGGAAAAAGGAAAAACATCCTCTTGGTATACTTCATCTTTGTGCCCTGCCCTGCTAGGTTTCTGTTCCCCATGCCATAGGTCTCTCACGGGGAACATACAGATATGTGACCTCTGGCCAGCACACTGTTATTTTTAAAATGTTAATCACTTGCTGGTATTTAAAAACCACCAGATTTCACAAAAGAATTTGAAATTTCAACCTCTCTTCAAAAATCAAAAAATGAAGTAATACTGAGTGTACATTCACGTGGGAACAAGCAGAGCTGAGTGGCCACTGGCCCTTTCCAACAGAACATGAGTTCTGACGGGTCATCACAGTCCCCAGCTGAGAAAACGCCCTAGCTAGCCATGTGGAAAAGTCATGTGGGAAGTCCCCTAATCTTCCCGACATCCCAGCCTAGGCACCAGACATGTGAGTGAAGAAGCCTTCAGGAGACACCAGCCTCACCAGCCATCTTACAAATGTATGAAGACCAAGGAGAGAACCACCCAGAGGAGTCCATAACCACCAAAACCATGAGAGAGAAAATGGTGGTTTCAAGTCTTTAAGTTTTAGGATAATATGCTGTGTAGCAACAACAAAAAAAAGGGCTAAAAGATAAGACGTACCCTTGACAAACTAAATACAATTACTTTGTTTAAAATAGTTTCTTTTTACTTGGGTCAACACAGATGTCATAGTAGTCTCCATCTTATTTTAGTGTTTAGGTAGAAATCTAAAACATAAATTGTGCCCAGGGAGGAAAACACCAGTGGAAGAAAAGCAATCATTTGGAATCAGCTGTATATTTTTTTAAATGAAGTTGGCTGGCTGCACTTAGGAATGTCACATAGGTTAAACAGTAATAAGTAATAAAAGAGAAGGACAGAGTTTGAAAAGGGCTGGAATCTGGTTCTTTACATCAGAATAGCACCTTCACTCACTACTTTGTATTCAGTACCCCGCACAATGCCTATTTTTTTCTTAACGACTGGATCAACTAAAAGTAGTTCTGTACATATTTTTCTGATCGACAGAGGGAACCTAAAGTATCTTTCCTATCACTAAAACTTTAGCTATTACTGATACAAAAGGAAGGTGAATGCCACCTGCAAAGTACCCGACAAACTGTGTTTCATACAAAATAAGTCAATCCAGAATTTTTACAGCTTAATGAGAGGCAGATCCAGGAACAGGAGAAAACTCTTGCTTGTATTTCTTAAAGCTGAGCTCTACCCATAGATAAGCAAATCCACCCTTGAGCAAATCACTCAATAGTTTGATGATTCTGTTTGCTCATGTGTAAAATGAAGGTAATCCTGCATTCCTGAAAAGTGTGACCATCAAGTTTAATAACATGGTCAATACACTTGAGGTAGTAGAAGATCTAACCTTGGGCCCTGCACAAAACTAAAGCAGCTGATATACTTTGCCCAAACAGAATTGTATATTCTCATTTCCTTCGCTTCTTTTTCCCACTTGTGACTCAAGCCAGATTTCATCGAGCTATTTTTATAATTACTAAAACGTTGGAAATATAGCAGCAGGCCAGAAGCAAAGTAAAATGCAGCATCCAGCAAAAAGAAAAAAAAAAAAGAAGAAGAAGAAAATCACGCTGAGTAACTGAACGGCCATCTGCTCCTAACTGAGCTGTAGGGGTGAGGAAGGCAATCTGGGCTGTATACTATTTGTGTCTTCCCCCAAACCAAACCCACCTGCATGTTGTCAGTGGCATCCCCAAGCAGTCCTCCAAAAGTGATGGCATTAGTTACAGTTGCCAAATAAATAAAGAGAATTGCTGATAGAGCCTGAATATTTAAAGCATCATAAAAATCACTGGCAAAAAATGGTGCTTTCCTCTTTATGTCCTTGATTAGTCCACCACAGAACCTGGGTAGGGAGAAAGCAAACATGTGACAGTATAAAATAAATTACCATCAAATTAACCAAGAGATAACTTATTAAACCACAAAGAATTTGTGTTTCAGGTGCTTGAATGAACAACAAGGTACTATTTAACCACTTAAAACCAGAAAACTGTGGAGGAATAAATTTTCTTCTATCTCTGTTTTAGTCACCAGATTAGGTGTAACACTCCCTAAAGATCAGACAGTTGTGAACTGTGTACATAAATTAAAATTTCTCACTGTCTAAAGACAAACATCTAAACATGTGAGTAAATCATACAAGGACCTTTATAATCTTTTCATAGCTTCCTTTCCGGTCTCATTCATTCATTCATTCATTCATTCATTCATTCATTCACTCATTCCACAAATGTTTATTGATTATCTGTGATATGCCCAGCACCATTCTGGGTGCTGGAGATACAACAGTGAACAACACAGGAAAACCATACCCACTCTCATGAAGTTTGCCTTCTGTGTGGAGGAGACAAAGTAAGTAAAATGCATGGTGCTAAAAATTAAGGAAAAAGTTAAATGGGGGAGAGGATTATTAAGTGTTAGAGTAGCAGTGGTTGAAATAAGATAGTAGCCAGAACAGGTCTCCTGAGCAAGTGACTTTGGGGTAAGAACCTGAAAGAAATAAGGAAGGAACCATAAAAGTATGAACTTTGCAAGCCGAGCGCTATTACAAATGTTAATAGGTCAGCTGACTTATGCATCAGTCAACTCATCCTCCCATCCAAACCTCACATCTCAGCCTTCCCCTGCTGTTCCTTCTGCCTACAATGCCCCCCCACCCCCATCTATCTGTCTGGGTGCTCTCTGGCCCTTAGCTACACTCAGTGCCCTGCCTCAGTTTTCTTGGAATGCACAGGACCGCACATGATACAGAGCAAATTGCAGACATTCAGTGCATTTAGGAAAGGTGAAATATGGAAGAATGAAATCATAGTCTGATTAAATAAAAAAGTTAAGTCCCAGAACTCATATCTGTAGAAAGTTAAAAGGATATTGCTAATGGAAACAGTTTGTAAAGAACTGTTTAGAAAAAAATGTGGGAGAGAAGGTTTTATGTTCTCTATTCTTTAAGAATGAAGGAGAGGGGAATAATGTCCTCTTAACTTGGCAGAGAAACCCAAATGGGTCATGGGGGGGTAGGGGGTGGGAGGGGGTGTAACAAATTCATTCAGATTCAATTGCATATTAAAATGAGATATGTTTGTGTTTTCAAAAAACCTGCAGGGTTTTTAAAAAGCTATATTTTCATAAAATGAGTATCCTACTTAAATTTTATTTTAACTCAAAATGAAATGGGGAACCTAACAGTGGAGAGGGAAGAACTATCATGTAAAGAGAGTTAGCCAAAGCAATCTGGGAAACCTGAATTCTGAACTGTAGGCCAGGGAGACTGTGACCTGTGAGTACTCATTTCTATAACAGGTTACCCACTTTTGAGTAAATGTGCAGGGAAGAGATGGAACATAAAAGCCAAGTGGGGCTTCCTGCCATACACACCCACACCCACGACCTCTGTTTTTCTCTCTAACACCCCCTCATTCCAGTCGCACTGGCCTCAATGCTGACTCAGCACACCAGGCACTCTGCTGTCCCCTCCTCTAACCCCACATCTACATGGTCTGTCTCCCACCTCCTTCAGGACTTTCCTCAAATGCTGCAATTCTCTTTAAGACCGTCCCTGACCACCCTTCACTGAAATTGTAATACCTTTCTCCCATCACAAAACTCTCCACTTCTGCTTTATTTTTCCTCATAAAACCATCACCACCTTCCTTTATTTGCTCAATGTTTGTCTCCACCACAACAAAGTAAGACCGGTAAGGACAGGCTTTTTGTTTAAGTCATTGCTGCATCCCCAGTGCCTGTGACTATTAGGTACACTACAAATATTTGTTGGCTGAACAGAAGTACAAACCAGTGAATAAAATGCTGATAGAAAGATGAAGGGAAATTTAGATCTAAAGAGAACTTCATTGTGAATGACAAAAATCCATCAGTTACCGGCCAGTTCTCTGCAATTCTTCACTGTCCCCATGTCCTCCTCCTCCTCCATGGCCTCCATCATGGGGCGTGTCCCCATTCATCTGAACATTCTCTCCACCCGAGTACATATTCTTTCTAAGGAAGACAACAGAGCCAAAGAGAATATTAGTTGTTGTTGTTGTTGTTGTTTTTTGTCTGCTTCTTAGCTGTGTCACATACTAGCTAATGAAGAGATGAACTGAGAAAGATCATTATTTCCTTCTTCCATTCTAACAGACAACTCTTAAAGTATTATATTTAAAGCCAAGGCAAATGACTGAATGAATAGAAAAGTTGCATAAATTGTATATTGTATAAGAAGGAAATTGTTTCACCTAGAAAATAACAGATTTCTAGGGAATGGCTTCTCCTCAATTATCTCATCCAATTTCTTAACCTCTTAAATCTGCAGGGCGTCATCTTGAATAAACTGATATTTCTGCATGGACAGGGAGTCCCCAAAATATCCCCCAAAGAATCTCTGTGATATATTCCAGTATCATAATCTGAGATACCTAATTTATAATCACCAAAGAACATGACAACAGATAACATTCATTGTACAGTGTCAATGAAATGTCAAACCGAGGCACATTTGTGATTCATTTGAGATGAGATAATATATCAAGTTAAATGGGAACCTAAAAATATTAGGACAGTTGCCTGATTTCATTTCCTTTGCCAAATACAACCTCCTTCCCAAGGTTGAAAACTCCCAACTGCTTGATAATTCACCTTTTGTCAGACGATGGAAGACTCTTAGGAGGCTCTATCCTGATCGCTGGGTCCCATTCCCCAGGCGGAAGGACAATGACTTCATCAAGGAACTCATCAATGCCAGCAATCAGGTCCTGCCTATCTTTTGCTTTATAAGCAATGTCATGAAACACCTAAAGAAGAATAAAAGATGTGCTGATACAATAAGGTAACTCTCCACATACCTCATAGCATGTCCAGCCTGAAGAATGCAATTCATAACCCACTTTTACATTACTATAATCAGAGTCTCATGTTTCCTGTTATTCAGCTTGCTCCTCAAGTATTTCAGTAATATACACAAAGAATATAAAAAGAGGCTTGAGAAAACAAATGGAGGTGTTTCTTTTACGTGTTCTTTTCTATCAATACTATGAAATAAAGTTGGCTTTCACCTCCCATTTGTATGTACCATTATTGATATAGTTGCTATAGAAGCCAGACGAAAATGATTTGGAGAAATATACTGACGAGTCATTCCCCAAAGCAAAAAATACAAGGACAAACGATTGCTAATAATTCAAAAAGGAAAAGTCCAAACTGGGTGTTAAGATTGGGTTAAGATATAAACACTGCAGCTCTCCAACACACAAATAATGTTAGTTATTAAAAAAAGAAAAACCTGAGTTATATTGGCAACACATAAAGCAGAGGGCTTTAAGTAGGAGAGCATCTGTCTAGTTATGAGAGGCTTAGGTTATGTATAGTAAAGGACTTTCAGATCATCAGCTAGGCTAGAGGAATGGGACAACTGACAAAGAAGACTATGTACATTCTGGAATGTAGATAGTATCTATGTGTTTATCTGCTTACCCAGGCAATAACTAAACCATCTAAGGCAGCTAACGCTCCATGTCTTTTATGCAAATATCCAAAGAAGGAGCTTCCCAAATGTACATCATTCAATTAGAATGCTGTGGTTATCAGCATTCTTTATAATGAAGTACAGTCATCCATGGCAAATAAGCTGACACATACAGAGTTTTCAAAAAGTAAATTTCATGTTGGAATAAAACACATTTTCCTTCATTTCCTAAACATTTTTCATTCTTAAAACTGACGTATGTTTAATATTCTTTAAAAAGTTAAGGTCACTAGTAACTTACAGTGACAGCCAATTCACAGTATGAAACAACACAAGTAAGACATTCAGAGATTACCATCTTCCCGATTCCCTACCTCGTCAGACATCAAGGTGGCAATGGCTCTGCCAATCTCATGGTAGGACTTAGCTTTCCCCTTAGGACCTAAGAGAATGAACAAGAACCTAATGGAAGAGGAAAGAAACAAAGGCTATAACACACATCTCATCAAATTCAATATACACAAAACCGAGACATGTTTATCCTAGTTCATAAGAAAGCTAGGTCTAGAATTCATCTTTAAAACAAAGGTAATGTCCCTGGTAATATAAAAGATACTCTCTCACACTACTGTGAAACACAAATCAGTTTGGTTCACTTGGAGACAATGTAGAATTTGTCGTGGAAGCCTGGGAAGCTTCTTCATTGAGAAGGAAAGGTTCACTTTGAGTCATTTATTCTTTCATTGCTAAACTTTCTTCTCTATTTCTACTGAATTGCAGAATCTTTGGAAGACTTAGTGTATCTTCGGACCTCTATGACTGTTCCTTACCCAACATGGACCGTGACATATGATCTTCTCCATACTTTTAAGACGTGTTTCTACTCAGAAGTGACTGGGGGTCAGCAAAAACCAAGCCCTGTACAAGTAAGCCACATGCTGACAGCCAAAGTAAAGACAAAGAAATATGAAAGAAATTCAAAATAAAACATCATTCAGTTAAGTTTTTTTGCGCGTGTGTAGGTGTCCTCATTTTCCTTTCCAAACATGTTTTCTTGATAATGCACAAGCAATTGCTCCCCAGTAAGTGGGTTCTGAAACTTGCAATAATGAGCTTATCCCCCATTTAGGTTCACCTCTTATCATGTTGGGAGAAATGCCTCACTGATCACAAGGGCAAAGATGCATGTCTTGACTAGGGAGGAGGAAACCTGATTTGTAAACGAATAAGAAAAAATATACTAAAGGCAACATTGGATAAATCCCTGCCTTGTTTATAATCACTTCTTACCTAACATAGAGATAATGGGGACAATAAAAATGATCACATCATATATTTGCTCAGCTTTTTAAAGCTTGCAAAGCATTTCATGTTCATCGCCTCATTTAAACTCTATAAAGCCCTTTGCAATAAGGACAGGTATCCTATTCCTTTTTAATGGTGAAGAAACTGAGGCTCAAGGAGGTTAATGGATGAGCCGAAAGACTGCCAAGTAAAAGAGAGAATAGATAGGACTTCCTACCTCCTGTTCTTTTTCAGCACACAGTTCTGCTCAATATTACCTGCCCAACCTATACACTAGGGTTGATTCAATAGAGAGGAGCTATCGAACAATGATTTCCATAGATCACCCTGGGGAAAAATGTTCTGGATAATTATCAAGGGACAAGAAACCTTAGGTAAAATTTTATGGGGCCAGGAATAGCTTAGGATTTCGCTCAGTTAAATTTTGCTTTTTTACTTATTTATTTATAAATAAAAAAGGATTGACAGGAAGTGCTCTTCAAAGTATTATGGTCTTTTTGGGGCAGCCAGTTAGCTGAGTTGGTTAGAGAGCAGTGCTAATAATACCAAGGTTGCAGGTGTTAGGGTCTTTTCCAAATTTCCCGATTACACAGTTCCTTTTGTTATCATAAAATTCAATCCAAAAAAGAAAAAAAACACAGAAATTAATATAAGAAGGTATCAAAAGTTTGAACACTTAGATTTTATACCAGGATAACCATAAAGCCATTCAGTGCTTATTTGCTTAGAAATCAGTTCTGGAGTGGGGCGGCACACTCACTTTCAAGTGTTATCACAGTAAACAGAATAGCAAAAGCAATCAGCAGGGACAAAAGTCTGTTCAAATATGAAGGAAGTCATTACTGGAACTGGATTTTAGTTCTTCTAACACTGAAGTTCAATTGATACTAGAACTTTTCTTCCTTTGAAGGTGGACCTAAATGATATACCACTACATATAGTATTACACGGTGCTTCCTTATGACAGTAAAATGTATTTTTCTAAAGGAACTGGTCACTGACTAATTTGAGTGCAATACATGCAAAAAATATTTAACCACTAAGGCAAAATACAAATTAAGAAACACCTGTAGTACCGGTCACATTTCCTAATCCTATTTGTCTACCAATAGCCAGCTGTTGGGCAGGACAATAAGGGCACAGTTTTAGGCAAAAGAGGGCAGGTATAGTGTAGGAAGAGAAAATTGACACCTGGATCTTTACTTAATACATTTTTAAATAATGAGTTTCCTTTGCCTGCCTTTTTTTTTTCAATATATCTAAATATTAGTGTTTCAGTAATACATAACACCTAAAACCTTTCGGAACACTCTTCCGGCTTTTCCCTAGCATCCCCATCATGATTATAGCTTACAAATACACATTATGGAAATACACACTTATCAACTGACACAAGTGAATTATCAGGTTGACTATATGGCGACAAAGCCAAAACATTCTCTTGTTAGAAAGTAAGTAAAATACTCTGTCATTAAGAGTTCTTAAATATAAACTTTGGCAGACAATGCGTAACTATTCTAAGAGCTGATAGAATAATGGAGCCTTTAAGTTAAATCCTATGAGATGAGGGCATACATTTTCTATAAATATTTATTCTGGTCTCTGCTAAATAGTACCCAAAGAATGAATGGAAGTAGCAGACCAATGGTAGCTATAACATGTATTATAGCAATAAACCCAATATATGAGAATTTATTGTTTCAGTAACTTCAGTAACTAGATATATAGGTACAATTCCTCTTTCCTGGGTAATGTGTGTGTGTGTGTGTGTGTGTGTGTGTGTGTATATATTTTTTTTCTCCTTTAATGGGAAATCATCAAGTGCCAAATAGAAATAACATGTTATATATCAGTTAAAATGTTCACACTATTCCAGTCAGGAATCATTCAGTAAATCCATCTCCTTAAAATGATATAGAGAGGAAGAAAGAAAATCTGGCCATCTGTAAGTAACAGGAAACATCACTCCAGGTCAAGAATTTCATCTGTAGGAATGAAGACCCTAAAGAAGCCTCTGATCTGAACTGCATTGTTAAAATGGGGATGAGAGATCTGGGAGAAGTAACAACACAGAACAACTCATCAAGTCGAAGTTCCTTCTGCTTGAAACATGTTCTCTTCCATTTAACCCTCAAAGAAGCCAAAGCTGTTACAACTTTTATGACAGAAGTACATCTTGCCAAACTCAGCTTTTATAATGTACTGAAAACTCTTTTCATGACCCAAGCTGTTTTCTGTCAATGGACAGATGTTATTTTTAACTAGAAGCTTTTTTCTTTATTAACAAATCAGAATAAACACAACATTTGTGTGGCTGGAAGGGCAGGCACAGCTCACATTGACAGCTCAGGGAAAAAAATAATATATGTTACTGAGTTCTTTTTATTCACTCATAACTAGAAATAAGTCATACTTAGAATTTTTAATAGCACCTAGTTTGTTTCCGGAATCTTCATGAAGTGCTTCTACTCCTGTGAGCTTTTTCATATAACTGATTATGGCCGGGGAGGATGCCTTTAGCATTTTCCACAACAAAAATAAGTGCCAGATGATCTGTGTCCGGAACCAATGGACTATACTCACATTCACAAAATAATTATAGCCAGAAACAGAGCATAATATCAGAAAAAGAGCCAGCCTTCCTAAACCACTCAATCTTTTTAGAAAGGATGTACACCCCCCTCCTTCCTGATATATCGCAGCTATTTCTAGAATAAACTCAGCATGTACCAATCCTTTACTCCCTTCTCTCAAAACAACAGTGAATCAAATAACCCATTATTCATATTTAGCAGCTTTGGAAAACGTAGCTAAACTGTAGCTTCCACAATAGACTCACAAGGACCCACAAACCCACCATAACCAACCATATTATTTATGTAAAGAGCAGCTAGCAACTGGCTTGTTAGACCAGACAGAATTGAACTAGCAGGACCTCCATCCCAGTTCCTGTAATAGGATGTTTTATGGTTTGACAATTAAGACAAACTTTAGGCAAATCATCATTTATAACATAAAATATATATTAACTTACAGTGAAACCAAAGAGGTAAACATGCTAATGTTTTAGAGGGCCAGAACTCACTGAATAACTATTTGACTTAGATGTAAAAATCAAAGTAAAAAAAGGACAAACAGATCAGAGGCTTTTGTTATTCTTCATGGGAAAACCCTAAAGTATATTATTCCAATCCATTCTATGTATCACCTTAGATTCCCCCTAAAAGCCTGGCGTCAGAGTCACAAATCTGCAGTTCTATTTCTAGCACTGATCGTGACTCTTCCTTTTGCCTCTATCTCTCAACTATAAAGTGGGAATAATAATATTTATCCCCTACATACCTCATAAATAGAAGTTAGTGGCAGCCTCTATGGACAGATAAAGATGACAGCAAGCAAAGTGAGTGCAAGATGCTAGCAAAATTATAAACATATCCTACCAAATGACCAAAGATCAAAAAACAGAGTTTATTTGCTTTCACATGGATGGCCAGAAGGTCCTCGAAGTAGATAACATCCACCCTGTTGGTAGTTGTCCAGCTATAAGCAGAAAGCTAAACTAGATCAACCAAATAACAGAGTAAATAGAGAAACTTGTGAACTCTACCAAGGGGAGCTCCTAGAGCTACACTTCCTGAAAGGTGCACAGCAGTAATACCGTTTAATAATAATAATAATAATAACAACAACAACAACAACAAGCATGAGGGCATAACCTTTCTCTACCATCAAAAGGAGAAAGTCATGACAAGATGTGCACAGAGCAGACTTTTCAGGTCTACCCGCATACCAGGGGAGCATGCGTGTTAAAGCCCATCACAGAGGGCAGAGGCACACCGTCACAGTGACCACCACCCTCCTTGTGGGATTTCCTTTATTGGATTTCACAGGATGCAGCCATTGTAAATGGCCCCACTGTACTCATACACAAAAAAAAATAGCTAATAAGACGCCCTGCTCAGTGATTACAGCTTGTACTGGTTCAGAGGACAGCAAACAGAAAAAACGATTTCCTGGAAAAATGTTAACATGCTAGGATATATTGTTCAGATTATTGCCCAGAAATAGGTTTATGGCATTATTGAATTACATTCCCTTGAATTGCTGGGCTCCTTTTGTTAATTCCAAATATGCTGTATTTCACCTCTAGACTAGCGCCACGCTCCAGGGCAGAAGGAAAGAATGAGACGGGCAGAACTATATGGTAAGAAGGACACAAAAATGATCATAATTTGCTACTCAATAAACTCATACTATTGTTACATAAAAAGCCTTTGAAAATACTTTTTATTAGTAGCTTCTAAAGAAAAATAATAAAAATGAAAAAGCAAGAGCAATTTAACACTTCTTGCAATTTTTTTTTTCTTTCAAGCCCAACAAAGTTAGTCCAAAGAGACAGAAATAAAACCATAGGGACACAAAAGCTGGACTTGAGCCATGACCTGAGTCAGCTAGCTGTTCGCCAGGTGATGGCTCAGATAGAATTTGAAGGCTCCGCTGGCATGTTTTCAAGCAAAATGCTAAGTTACAGAAAACACAAATCATTATAATTCCATCAATTGAATAAACTATGATCTTATCTTTTCCTCTGCTATTTGTCCAATGACCGCCTAATGATGACAAGTATCATTCTTCTTTGAAGTGTCTAAGAAATATATAAATGAGGGAAAAATACCTCTACGATCAGAAAGAATTTTCTGTAATCTACGAATTGGGAGGCCATAAGGAAATGTTCTCCTAATTTTCCTAATTTGGCTCAGAACAAACCCTGAGCCCACTGTCATTGTGAGTGCATCATGCTCAGACCATCTGAGATCATGGGGGATTCACAGCCCTTCCTGCTCACCTGGGGAAACTTAGAGAAAACTCATCTGTCCTTGCTCTGGAACCCACAAAAAGCATGTGCATGCACACATGCGCACACACACACACACCTCCTACTCATATGATAATTTTCTGACATCAACTTGAAGACTACAAGCATCTCTTTAAACTCTTCTGCACAAGTTAAGGGAAGCATTAACTTTTATTCACCTATTGCATTCTGTAAGTCAAGCCTCCTAACTCCACTGCACACAGTTGCAGAGGAAGGGAAACAGGATGAATTTGAAGTATATTGAATACATGATTATAATAACAGTAATATTCCTCTTTTCAAAATAAAAATTTATGCGACATAACACATAACAGTAAAGTGTGCAAATTTAAGGGTATAGCTTTATTATTTTATGATAAGACAGAGCAAATGAAAGCAACTCTGACTCTGAACTAATTACCATCTATTAATATATGACCTTGGACAAGTTACTTAAACTCTCAGACTCAGTTTCTTCATCTATAAAATCTGTATACTTATATTCACACTTAAAAGACTATTACTGAGGATTAAATAAACTAATCCATAAGAAGAAACTAATACATAGCCCAAGAAATTATTTCAATTGTTATTATTATTACTAAGATACAAGTGACAAGTCATGTGATAGCATGAAAATCAGATTAAAACTTTCCAATATGCTTGCTCTGGATGTATCCTCATTCTATTGATTCTCTAGCCTGAAGGAGAAGATATTTCCCTATTACCACACTGTAGACTTCAGCAAGTCAAGGAGCAGCTTACCTTGTGGGCACAGGAACCTCAGTCAGGGCGCCCAGCATGACCGCCTGCTGTAGCCGGACAAAGGCAATGAAAGGCATATCCAAGAAGTCCACCTCCCCGACGAGCACATTGGAGGCTTCTGCATCACGGGGCAGTTTTTTCATGAACTTGTTCTTCAGCTGCATGAGAAGAGTAAAAAAGGAAAACCCACAATTTATTTCCAGAGAAGGGAACAAGAAGAAACACTCCATATATCACTTAAGAGAATTCCTTTATATGAGTCTACACATAACAGGCCCCAGCTATACCCATTTTTCTATTACGTTTAACCATTCTATTATCATAAACATTTCTCTGTACTCTGAATTAAACAAATATCGAGGGTATAATCACAAGGTGTACATACAAAACAATGTTTACATATAAAAAAACTCATTTATTGATTCATTCACTCAATAAACGTGTGGAGAACCTACCAGATCTACTGATCTGAGCTCTAGGGATACAGGGAAGGATCAACTAATTAATTACATGTCCTCCTTGGGCTCATATTCCAGCAGGGGAGAAATAAAATACAATTTAAAGTAGTGATAAGTGCCAAGGGAAAAAAAAGTAAAACTGTTAAGAGGGTATTCTTTTACAAAGGGTGGTCAGGGATGGCCTATGAAGAAATACATTTGACACTGGAGTGAGAGGACAAGCCATGCAAAGATCTGGGTAAAGAACATTCTGGGCAAAGAAAACAGCGAGTGCAAAGCCTCTAAGATGGGAAAGCTTTGCAGTTAGAGGAGTAAGAAGAAGATAAGTGTAATGGCAGCTGAAGCAGCAATGGAGAAAAACTAGCAGCAAATAAAGTCACATAGGTAAGGGGTCAGGAGGTGGGGGACAAGCTGATAAGGGCTCTGCAGGCCCTAGCAAGGAGTTCTGTATGTTTTAGGTGGGACTTGCCAACTAAAAGTCCAAGGGGAAAGGTGGAGGAGAAAGACATGAATTTAGGATCTATCACCAGGTAAACAATATTTAAAACCATGGGACAGGATGACACAAGCTTGTGTGTGAGTGAAGACAGACGAGGGATAAGAATCCTGGGCCATTCTACCATTTACAGGAATGGGAGGAGCTATCCGCAGAGGACACTGAAAAGAGCAGCCAGTGAGGTAAGAGGAAAAGCAGCGCTTCACAACAGTCAGGTGAAGAAGGGGCTCAATAAGGGAAGTGCATCAGCTGAGTCAAAGGCTGCTGAAAGCTCAAATGAGGTGAGAACTAAGAATGGGCCAATGAATTGGCCAAAATGGAGGTGCTGGGTGATCTTGACAAGAGCTGTTACAGTGGATACCAGGGTGCCCAGTAAAGAATAAGAGGTGAAGAAATGGAGACGGGGAGTTAAGATAATTATTTTGAGAAATGCTGCTACCAAAAAAGCCAAGAAATAGGGAGGGAGGCATAAAATAGAGGATTTTTTTTAAAAAATGAGAAATATGATAACACTTGGGAATGTTAATGAGAATGGTCTACCAGAGACAGATTATTGCTGCAGGAGAGATAGGAGATAACTTCAAAAGCAGCTCAAGCAACCTTGAACTATTGAGAAGAGACTATATCCACATCACAAGTAGAGGGATCAGCACCAGACAGGTACACAGAGAGCTCATCAGTCCTAACGAGGGGAAGCAGATCATATGAGTACCGATGGGGGTCATCTGGGAGATTTGATGGGTGAAGATGAGGACTTCTGAGGATTCATATTTTTTCAGTGAAATTCAAGTGAGCTGATGGTGAGGAGGCGGTATGTGGGAGTTTGAGGACAATGGTAAAGGTGTAAAGTGGTTTTCTTGAAGAGTGAACGTTGATAAACACAGTCATTTTGAAAGCTTACTTTGTAGATGTTATTCCTTACTTTCCCTCTCCCCAATCTTCACTTAAAACAGGCTTGTTTAAGCATCCTTTAGTGCGTGGGAAGTGCCTCCCACAGCTCAAGGAAAGCATTTCAACAATCATAGAAGGATAGTGACAAGAATTTTGCAGGACCATATGAAAAGGAGACTTCTGATATCAGTTATCGTCAATATAAATGTCTCTCTCCTCAAGTCAGAATCACCAGTGCACTTGGTATTTTGTGCCACAGATTGTCACTGAGATGGAAAGTGGCAGGCATGGCCCAATTTTCCCCATTAATAAAGAGGTGATTAGTAACATTCTATTTTTAATTTCTATCTAAAGAGCTCTCAATTAGAGAAAATAAGCATCACGAGAACTAATCCTTAAAACTCCATGCCCCTCAGTAGCATTTTTATGGGATTTTTTCTTTAATTTGGTACTTCATATAAGAAGAAGGCAGTGAGGCAAAAAACAAGGAAGCTGGGACTAATGCTTTAGTGGAAACCAAAATTTTTTTTAAAAAAGACAAGATATATATTTTTAGATGTTAGAAACATGACTGCTTCTAAGCAGTAGGGATTTTTCCAAAGTTTATACCATTAATCCTCCAAGAATGCTAATATTTTAAAAATATCTGCTTACATTCTACAGATATGAAAAGAGTCATCATGGGAGGGGTCTAAAAACATCAAATTGCCAAAACTGTTATGGCCTTAAGAAGTTACAGTACTGAACTGTTCTCTAAAACACAGAGAAGAGACTGTGGGGTGTGGACAAGTGGCCCAAATGCATAACAAACTATCACTGCTAGAGTAACCATCCTCAAACTCTTTCCAGAGAATTCCCATTACCAACACTGGACTCTTTAATAATCCGATTTTACTTCCCATTTTCTCCTGCACTCTTTGGTCTAGTTAGACAGGTAATCCGATAAAAATACACTCCTGTTTGATGTAGTTGGAGTCCCACAATCATTATCAAAAACTGTCCTTTCCTCATTTTTACCTTTTCTAAGCTCAGTTTAAGCCTTTCTACCATCTCAGCCCACTTCCTTGGGAACACCAGAATTGCTCCTTTCTAAGTCACACTTTAGTCCATGTTTAAATTTTTTCCCAGAGTTTCTTGAGGGTTAGGAAACAGTTTATCCTTCATTGTACCGAACACCTACTTTGCACATAATTCAGCTGTACTAAATATTTTTAATGGAAGAAATGAATTCTATAGCACTAAAAATCAGACCAAAAGACCCTCAAATACCCAGGAAAGTTAGAAAGGTTTTAAAGGCTATTCTAGAACCTACTATATATCTGCACCTGTCACTAAGCAACTACCTGACTCACAACCTATACAGAATATCCTAGTCGATTATATATTTCCACAAAATGTTTTCCTAGTACCTTTACTGAGATTACTGTACAATCTTGGAAAATGAGAAGTATATTTATAAAAGCCAAAGGAAATAAACTGTATTCTATGTGCTCTGGAAATCAGTAGTTGCAAAGTATGTTCTTTTAGATCAGAATTATCTCAAACTGTGCTTGTGGAATGCAAGTGTTCTCAGAGAAACTAATAGCTATTCTAAAATAAAAATGTGTGGTGACTGGGGTGCCCCAGAACTCAGTCCTGAGATGGCTCTTTTCTCTCTTCACACACTCTCTGGGTGATCTCATTGAGTTCTGTGTTTTTAAATACCATCTATGTGCCGATGACTCACAAATTTACATCGTTAGCCAGGACCTCTTTCCTGAACCTCCGTCCTATAGTATCTCTACTTAGATGTCTAACAGGCATTTCAAACTTCACATGTCCAACACTGAGCCCCCTGACAGTCCCTTCAAACTGGCTCTTCCAGCAGTCTTCCTCATCAGGCTAATGGCGACTCCACTCTTCCATCTCTCAAGCCAAAACCTGCTGTCATCTCCAACACTCCTCTTCCTCTCACACCCCATGTCTGTTCTATCAGCAAATCCTGTTGGATCTATATCCAGATATATCCAGAATCTGACCATTTCTCACCAACTTCACTGCCATGATCCTTGTCCATGTTATGATCATTTCTCTTCCGGGTTATAGCTTTGGCCTCCTGGCAGGATCATCTGCTTCTGCCCTGGCCCCAGTCTATTCACCAAAGCAGCCAGAGGTCAAATCAGAAGTCAGAGCATGTCTCTCCTCTGCTCAAAATCCTCTTTTGGCCCCCATTTCATAAGAGGGAAGGCAATGTCTTTATGACAAGCCAGAACCTCAACATTACCTGGCTTGCCCTCAGCTCCTTGACCTTATTTCCTACTGTTCTCTCCCAGGCTTGTCCGTACCGGCCACTCCAGTTTCCATGACCTCCTTCAAACACACCAGGCACCCTCCTGCCTCAGGGCCTTTACACCTGCTGCTGCCTCTGAATGGAATGTCTGCACAGCTCCCTCCCTCACTTCCTTTTTTTTTTTTTTTTCAGATGTTTATTTAAAAGTCACCTTCTTATCAGTAAGTCTTTCCCTGGTCACTCCTTCTCCCTACAGATTCTTCTCCCTCATATTTCCTGTTTTATTTTTTCTTCTTTGGACTTACCACAGCTAAACATGCTATATGTTTTACTTATTTAGTTTCTGCCTTCCCACTAGAATGTAAGCTCCCTGAAGGTAGGTATATCCATCTATTTTGTTGAGTGTTGTATCCCTCATGCCTAGGAGCGTGCCTGAGGAGAAAAATTTAGTAAGTATCTGTTGAATGATAGTTATTATTACTGCTCTTCCCAACAAGTTTTCCTAATTGCTCTCTTAAAGTCATAGGTTCTGGACATTCCACAACCACCCGGACCACCTAAGTGGACAATGGCCTTGATATCGACAATCGTAGTAAATTCCATGCCCGATAACAGTGATTGGTACAAATGATGGAAGTATGACCCAAATAGGGACCAAATCCATTTGGAAAATCAACACTGGAATATGTTAAAATCAACATTTTCCGTTTCACCTAAGGTTGCTCCCCTCCATGCTGAAAGGGGCTGTCCACACTAGGAGAGAATGAGATCAGCACCCAAAATGAAACAGACAAAACAGGAGGGAAAATGGATGAAAAGAGAGATTGCTGAGTCCATAGTCCCAGACCCTGTACTTTCTCCATTCTGTGAAACTCATCAAGAATTGTTACCAATTAGATAAGACAGAAAATTCCATTTGGGGCTTTAAGTAATTTGAGGTGATTTCTGTCTACTGCAGAATCCAGACCCTTCACAAAAATGTATTTGTCAAATAAATTTGAGGAATTTCAGGTTAAATAAAATATATTTATTTTATAATATATT